AAGACAGAAGTGATCGGGCACCCCCTCTTGATGGGCTGGGTATGGCAAGGCTTCCTATGGCAGGGCCAATCACCAGAAGCGCAGAATTGCCAAACCTTGAAATTTGATTGCTTCACGATGCACTTGCACTTTCCCGGTCGAGAGCAGCCCTGCACAACACTCACGCTGGGACTAGCTAGACAGCTAGGCCGCCAGGCAAAGTAAGCCCGGATAGGTTTTGGAATTTGTGAAGTCGTGGCAATATATACGCTATTGACCCAGAAGCATTGATACGATCGCTAGTAATATAATGCGAGAGCTATTCGTCAAACAATGCAGGCAACGAGTGACAGACAGAAGGGGGACGGGAAGATCCAGGACCGGCAAAGGATGCCAGACGTGTCCGGCAAAGAGGAGTGGTGCCAGGAAGATTGAAACAAAGACAGAAGGAAACAGCGAGCGGACCTAGAGTAGCCACATGCCACTTCACTTGATCAACTTGCTTTTTGAGCCCGGCTGCGCTTGCAGGCTTGCCGATGTTCAGGCGGGAGTTGCGGTCTCCAGTGGCTTCGAATTTGCTGAGACCGTGGGTCATGACGGTGCAGGGGGCAAGGAACATTGTGGAAGCACATGTGCACCCTGCCATTGAAGCAGTGTCGCATGATGGCCAGGGCCAGGGAAAGTTCAGAGCTGCCCAGGTGACTCGGACAAATCAGTGCCGTAGGGCGTTGGGAAGCGTGACCTGTGGACCAGACCTAGCGTTTTATGTCTCTAACGTCCCAGCAATCATACATGTCGGTCGAATGACAGGTCTCGGTGATCCGCTCTGGCAACTTGTTCCAGGATCTGCCGCCGCACCCGATAGTGCCAGTGGCCTGGACAAACATTAACATGACTTGGTGCCAGCAGGAGCTACTTGTTCAGACAGTGCTGCAAGTTAGGGCTTGATGTTCGCTGGCGGAAGCATGTGGGCCGAGGAAGGCCCTGTTGGAGAAGCATTGCTGCTGCAGCTGGCGCGGGAGCAGGCCTGCAGTGCCTTTCGAACATCACAGCCACGCAGCACATGGCGAACTGTTGTAGAGTGCAGACTCCCTTTACCGAGCATCAGCACTTTGACTTGAGCTTCAAGGTCCCACTCAACCGTGTGGCTAAGGAAAGCTCCGAGATGCTGGACTTCCTAGACCGGTACTTGCTGCGCAGCTCGCTGGACTGTCTCTTGCCAGCGAGAAGGATGACGTCCCAAACTGCGTGGAAGTTGTTCCTTGTTGCGCCCGGAAACAGCTACCTTAATTAGTTCTTCTGTTGGCCAGTTTCATTGAAATGCTCCCAACAGGTCCTTTTCTGGTCCTCTCCGAGGGCCAGCTCGTGGAGTCAGTTCCAGCACCATCCGTACAGGCAGAGCTTGGCAGACTTCATGGACACCTTTGGACACCCATTGTTGGGCGGACAGCTAAAGCCTTGCTTTTGAGTCTCTGGCAGGATCTCCAGAGATTGAAACAGCTCGTGAGGAACTGCATTGCCCCTCAATCGCAAACAGGCTTCAGTTGTCCAACTCTTTGTTTCCGGTCTTGGAAGTGCTACGTCCTGTTATCCGCGGTTATGTGGCCGTCAGCGTGGATTTCAGTGTCTAGGGCCTTTTTTTGCGCCGCACACATCTACAGTAGTGCCTTGGCAGGACCCCAGCAGCATTTCAGGCATTGCGAGAAGTTGCAAGTCTACTAAATGAAGCGAAGAGGGTGACAGCCACTTCACCTCACCTCAACCTGCGCTGCCGCTGCACCTTGCAGCAACAGGACACTTGCGAAGAATATGGTGCGGCGTTGCTGGTGGATTTCGAAGGTGAGATGCCAGGCAGAGCAGATCCACAACGTGCCACGCCCATCTCGACGTAGAGCGCTCGTACCGATCCAGCCCTGTGCGCGATGGCCGTTGCATCATGTTCAGCAGGCCATGGTGGGGAAGTGAGCATCGCTCAAGTGCAGTTCACTCAGGCCGGCTGGTAGGCGACCAAAGACCTATGAAGAGAACTCAGCATGTCGTCGTGTCCTAGCCACCGAGCCTTAGCAATGACGCGTAGAGTCTGACGGTGTCTCGTGGTACTGTAGATTGGTCAATAGCTGCAAGCTACTGCAGGAGGTGATTGAATTGAGCTGCCAGTTTGACCATTGCCGCCCAGGTCCTGGATCTCAAAACATTGAGCCCTTTGCGTTTGAACCCACTGCAAAGATTCCAGTGTCCTGGTGGGGCAGCCACAATTGAGTAAAAGGGTCATTCCGTTCATTCTCTCCAAGGGCCAGTGCTGCTGCCGAAACCTTTTGCTGACGAGTCTGCATCTTGCATGAACGGCCGCCAGCACCCACATGTGCTTTCTGCATGTGTCTGCTCGGCCAGGATTCCTTCTCGACCTCAGATGTCCAAGCGGTGTTGAGATCATTCGGCAGGACCGGGAATATCGAATACCTGTGGTTTTGCAAGGCATGAAGCCGGAGACCGTTCGTAGTCTGTGTTGCCTGTTGGTAGCTTTCGACACGCATCGAGGCTGGGCCATAGGCCGCAGGCATCTGCAGGTCAGAGGTTGCATCCTTCGTCTGGTGCGGGAAGGTTATGGGGAGCCAGAAGATCTTGAAGATCCTCTGGGGAGCTCAAGGCGACTGCCAATGCCTGATGCCACCCGGCGAAGACTGCCGCCAAGGTTGTCTGTTGTCTTGAATGTGTCCTTGAAGCTGAATATGTCGATGGGGCACCAGGGTTTGTCAAGAGACCCTGTTCGGGAACGTTTGGGTCCCAGCACCCAAAATGGCTTCGGAGTTGTGGATGTCTATACCCGACACAGACCAGGACGCCCCAGCAACAACTCCATATTCATCCAGGTACCAGCTACGACCGTTCTACATTGGAGTGTATCCAATGGCAACGCTGGATGCGCAGGTCCCGCGAGAAGTAGAACGGTATTTTTTCTTGGATGCTCAAGAGTGACCCGTGAGCTCTGAAGCCAGGTGGCCTTTGATGCCAGTGTGCTTATCGGCATGGCGAAGATGTTGCAGACGGTCCCTTCAGAGACCACCGGTGGCCTTCCCATCAAAGAGGAGCCTTTTCCCAGTGGCCTCGTACTAGGATTGAATGCTGGCCAGCAGTACCTTCCTTTAACCAACGGAATCATAGGATCGCTTGCATTGGGTGCGCAAGTGCGCATCGTACCGACGAAGTCGGAAGTGAAGGAAATCGTGAGGCCGCAAAAATCCTTTGGCCGCAACGAAACCGCCTGCGAAGTTGTGCAATCTTGCCATCTCCTCGCAAAGACTCCCCAGGTCAAAGATGCCGGCTTGTGAAAGCAGAGACCCTGATCCCCACACTGATCAGCAAGCCTCATGGTTGAAGACTTGTTCATAATTTTCCAGGATCAGATCAATTGGGACGCTTCGCACTGTGAGCCACGCGGCAGAAGTCAGTGGCCTGCGGTTTCGCTGTTGGTGAGACATGGTTCTTAAAGCCTGTGAGGAACAAGCGTGCCCTGGAAGTGCCACTGAGCCGGGAGAGTGCGCTGTATGCAGTGGACGACCTGCACCGCATCGAGGCAGGCCTACATGGTTGTCTGTCCATCTGTCCATCACGACCATGGGTTTGTGAGGCTTTCTTTGCGTTGCCATGCGTTGTCTCCATCTTCCAACATGCACTGGACGGCAAGACGTTGTTACAGGCCATTGTGGGGACCAAGCTTCCTCCAAGCGGATCGTATGCCACGGCGCTGCAAAAGTTGTGTCATGCGGCTTTGGCCGTGCATTGTCTGTGCGTCGACGCTGCGCCAGACATTTGGTCTCTGAACTAGGCGGCTGCACTTCAGCATACCGCCCAGATGCTGCTGGGCTTGCGCGGGGTGCTTGGATGTCATCATCGCAGCAGAAGGTAGGAAAGGTCAAGGCGACATGTCAGGCGACGCTTCCCGGTAGGGAGAGGCGAAGCTCGCTGACATTCTCCACCATACTACTCACTTCATGTTTCATGAGAACAAGCAGCCGTGAAGATGTGTGTGCGGACATGGGTTCGAATCGTTGACAATCTCACGCAACTACTGCCACGCTCTCGTCCATGGTGGTCTTTCGTTGAAGTGAGATCAACGGAATAGGTAGAGTCGGCGTAGCGTTAACTTGGCTGCCTCTCCGAAGATATTTTCCATGAACTTTGTTCATCCGGAGCCGGGTTGCGTGCACGGGAAGGGCTACGCAAGGCATGCTTTCGGGTTTGCGATTCACGATGGGACCGAGGCCAGGATCCTTGCGGCCTCAGCACGTTGGAGCAGGACCTGAGGCTAGAAGACTTGTTGCAGCTCGGAGGGTAATCGCTTGCATGCTTCGGGCTTCATCTCAGTGCCACCATGTGAAGAGTTCAAGCTCGCGAGTGGTGCAGGTGGCTGGAGAAGCGCGATGGCACAAAGAAGATGGTGAAGGTACCCTGTGCATGTAAGTTGCTCCACGTCAAGTGGTTGCATTGCCGTGAGACCTTCTGCTCGCCATATCTTGTCATATCGGAGTGAGCCAACACCTAACCTAACAGCCCAGCACGCCATGGTGCCTCATGGCAGGCGGTTCAGATTGCCCGTCACTGCATCTCCGTCCAGTTGCGGTTCAGCCTCGGAGGTGCAAATCTGAGTGGTAAGGGGTAAGGTTTTGACCCGAAGGGATAACATCAGTCGCCACAAATGCTGATTCGATGGTTGTCGTCTTGATTGTAAGAGTCGTCGTCAAGGCGTGCTGCTTGTGACCCATGCAGGCCGTGACAACTCGATAGAAGCCTATCCTGAAGTCAACCTGAGTATCCAGACTGCGTTGGAATCTCGGCAGAAATGGCTGATTGCCGTTCGGCAAGTCGTTTTCTACTCGGTTGAAGGGTGGAAGCGATGCACGAAGGACATGACACGTTGCAGTACCGAAGCATTATTCTGCGTCGCTGGTTCATGTCGCCATCAGCAAAGGCTCGTGCCAATGAAGTTCTGCAGACGCAGAATGTGCACGTCCCTCCGGACCTGTCGCTCCTCGGGCTGGTCACAAAGGTTGTCTTGCACCCTAGGGCAGCTGAACCTTGTGCATGCCTCGAGCCCCAAAGAATTCTGGAAGTTTTGATAGAAGTGTGGAGTGATGGGCACAACGGGAAGTAGGCAGCTCAAAAGCATGAGGACCTCACTAGAAATAAGTCCACGGTGTTGTGGGTGGGGTGTTACTGTTACATTTCTACATATGCTGAGCAAGCCGACGTGAAGCTGCGACTTCCAGTGCGACTTTGGGGATGGAGTATGAGTAAGAAGCACCCTGTGATTCGGCACATTCGGGTCAAAATGGGCCGTGCAGTGCGTGTGTGATCAAAGCCTGCCTCCAGCAAGGTTCAACAACGACCACCCCTCGCCCAGCGGCAGTGGTGTGCGTCTTGCCGGGAATGCGAGGGAGTTCGGGGACAAGCATGGCTGGCAAAATGCAGAAGCGAAGTCCCTGAGTTGTGACAGTCGAAACACTATGCCAGAATTGCAGCAGGGCTTGGGATCCTCGCCATCACAGCAGGCGAGGGACAAGTGAAAGGGCTTAGAACTAGTCATACAACGAAGACTGGGAATACTGGGGGCAACGGACCTGAAAACTACTCCACTCGCAAGCAAGATCAGGGTCACCGCCTGAAGTACTTGAACGTGCTGATGGGTCGGGTGTTGTGCGTTGTAAAGTCAGAACAATCTAGTCAACCGGAGAGTGGGCGCAGGTAGCGCACCCAGCTGCCCGGTTGCAACTCCAACAGTCAGCGTGTGTGCACCTTTCAGGTCATGGGGTACGCCCAGTGACTTGTACAATCCGGCCGAGGTTTTTCAATGACAGGTCCATCATTGCAAGTTCAGACCTGCTGAAGATTTCGAGCAGTATGTGCAAGGATTCCGGGACGGAAACCCTACAGATAGCAAATTCTCGCAGCTTTCCTATCTTAGCTTTGCATAACTCGTGCAGGGATAAGCTTAATTGTCAGACAATACTCTGGAGCTTCGGCTTGTCTCGGCTTCTCCTTCCATGCAGCCTCGACCTGCGAAAGGTAGACTTGTATGCCTTTCCGCTGAAATTTGTCCGCGAAGAGCGTAGAACGGAGCCGGGAGGGACATGGTGAACTCACTTTTAGCTTTTAGCCGCTGTTTTGTCTGAACTCTGCTCCCTGTGTGACTCCCCATGTTTGGGTAGGGTGAACCTGTACAGACCTATCCAGCCATTCAGGGTGGCTTAATTAGCGTTCTCGTAGACTCGTCGACTAGCCACGGGATCTGCAGATGGTGCTGCGGCTGTCTTGTGGTCCAGCATGATACAACGATGCATCCCCCAGGTGTGTAAAGCCTAGTGTTGTCCACCAAGACGTGACAGCTTCCAACTGCGGTGCCGACGTTCCGCACACGCATCATTGCAGCAGGTGTTGGATGTGTGTTTGCAGCAATTGGCTGCTGCAGAAGTTGCACATGGATCTGTGCAGTCGGCACTGGCCGCGAAGTCTCTCGTGTGAGCATCAGGACATCTAGCGACATGATTGCTTGCTTTTTTGGTTCCCACACTTTTGCAGGCAGAACAAGAGAGGTAGGGCCTGTGCCCGAAAGCACTACGGCTGCTGAATGCCCCGTTTCTGGGCCCTCCGGGTCACGCGAGCAACTTAGACATGGTCTTCTTGCAACAGGCTAAGGGAATGAGTCCCAAGAGCCACCTCAAAGACGTCGGCAGTTCTTTGAAGCACCATTATGTTGCAAGTGGACACGATAACGGACTCTGTGTCACTCATTCCGTCACTCCATGGTGCAGCCCGCACAGCTCAAGAAGATTTTGGCCCAGGGCACACTAAGTGTAGGGGCACGGAGCCTTGCAGTTGCAGTCAAACTTGAAGCGAAGAGATCTGAGCGGCCGAGTGCTAAAGTCTTCTTTGACCTGGGCTGCAGTGGCAGAATGAGGCAGAGGGTGGCACTTTGATCATGACAAACCTGGCAGAGTCTGGCAGATTGCGTGTGGCTTCTTTAAGACATGTCGTGCTACAGCTTTATCCTTATCCAGCTGATTTGCCGACCCCTCTGCAACTGGGCCATGCCAAACGTGCTGTGCCCATCATGCGGAATGTCTTCAGCGACAGGACGCGAGCCAGAGCTAGAGCTAGTAGGCAATGTCCATACGTAAGTTCCGGGTTGTGGGTTGGGTGCTCAACAGGTGGCGGGCCCACTGAGTGCGGTGGGGAGGGTTGCTCCCTCGGCCGTAACCCTTACAGAAGAAAGAGATTTGAGCACGGGCACTTTGAAAAGTGGGGATCTGTAGGGTTCAGGAAGTCGTGTGAGCAGCAGTCACCAGCTGCAATGCTTATGAAGTTATAGTGGTTTATGGGAACCCGCAATAAGCGAGGTGGGTGGGGCTGGAGAACCGGGGGTCCTCCGAATCTGGATCGGACCCAGTGAGGGAAAGATCTGAGCCAAAGAGGAAGCAGGTCCTTCGCCGCAAATAGACAGGTCGAGGAACATAGGGAGTGAACGAGCAGGCGAAGAGGCCTGCCCTTGCCATCCCCTTCGTTCAAGCCACGGCTAGGACATGTCGAAGCAGCCGTGGTTCTGAGATGCTTGTCCGCGTCCATGTCTTGTGTGTCCTGGCCCAGACGCTCACGAAACGAGAAATCTGCAAGTTGGCAGAAACCAGCAAAGCCCAGGTAAACTTCTGCAACAGCTTTGCTTTCTGTCTGGGTCTCGTCTGAGTGCGACTTCTCTCCAATCAGCAAGGCTTGTGACCAGGTTTCTGTCTCCGTCTCTGTCTTTCTCTTTGCGCCCAAGCTTCTATCTACGAAAGTGCACTTTGGCGTCCGGGAGTTGGCTCGGATCCAGGCTCTTGATACGCTAGTCAAGAAGATGTTCACGAAGATGGAACGATTCTCGTTCGGGGCGGGCGGCTCCTGGCAAGCGCACAGAACAACGAGACACTCAGAAGACAGTAAACACAGTTACCATTTCCCTTGCAACTTGTTGACCTGCTACTGGCGTGATTTTTTTGAAAAGTACTGTACTTGCTTTCAAGAAACCCCTTGGGTTGCTGTTTTTAACGAATGCATCCATGCACTCCACAGGTGTGTCAGTAGAAGCGCCATCGCGTTCTGGGTCTAGCTGGCGCCAGTCGTAGGAAGAGGAGGCCATTTATGTGACCGCGACGTTTCGACTACCTGCTTGGGCATGGAAGATAAAAGTGTCGATCGGGCTGACGGCCTTTCCCATGGAACGAAGCACGGGCAGATGTGTTGAGAACGAGTCGTAAAATTCAATATGTGCCGGGGTGCAGAGGAGCTCATTGTTGGCCCCGACGCTGCCGCCGGCAGCCTCGCGAGATGACTGCGTGCTTGTTTGGTGAACTCAAGAGTCTTGGCGAGGTGAGACTGGCCAGGTTCCTTTCGGGCGTCAAGTCACGGTGCCACATGAGCCAGACAACCGGAAGCTGAATGCGGCTGCCATGGCATAGAGCTCTTCCAATGTGTAGGAGACTTTGGTAAGGCTCAGATGTGCATGACGGCATGAACACAACACCTCTCTCGGTGGGTCTTGTAGTGCATGGCCGCATGAAGCTATGTTCCGTCATGCTTCAATCTCCACACTAGGACTAGGAGTCACTAGGAATTTATGATGACATGATGTGCATGCTGATAACCGGCAGGACTCAAACTGGCAACCGTGTCAAGCACAGAATGCACGCGAATGCCATGTTGGCCTTCGGACTGCTGGGAAGCCTTGCCGGAACATGAGCAAAGCCGCTCAGCTGGCTGCGCTGAACGCCGCGGCGACTGCCGGGACACTCGGAAGCCCCCATCCGCTTGGCCGCTTGGCAGCTCCCAGCTCTCCGAGGCAGGGGACGTCGCCGCAGCCAGGCGATGCTTCGAGTCCTTGCAGCCCAGGGATCGAGCCAGGTCGGGAGCCCTCAAAGGACAGCTTCTTTTTCGCTCCCGATCTCGTGACAGGACAGTCGCTTGGAACACCATGCTAAAGGCCGGCTGAGAGAAACTCCGGAAATCATGGCTTCAGCAGCTCTTTCAGTCAAAGCCAGATTATGTGCAACCGAGGTTGGATGGAGGGAGCAGGGGTTTTGGCTTTGTGACGACAGGCGCATGCCATCGCTGGTGACCTGAACGGAGCTACTGAGCATTTTCGTGCGTGGGCCTTATGTGCTCTGCAGCCCTCCACTTGCTGCGTCCGTGCCGCAGGGGGGTTCTGGTTGTTGCATGTTGACAGCTGGGTGGCCCAGGAAATGCTGGGGCAGCGTGTTTGCAACTAACTCGCAAAAGGCTGGGGGCTGCGGGTGCAGTTGGAACTCGTGTTGCGGACGGTGTGTCCGGAAGTTTGGCTGCGATCTTCGGAGGGTTGTCATCGCGAGTGTCACGATAAGACGCAGCTGAGACACAACCCAGGCATCAACCGCCGAACTTTTGGAAAGCTCATCAGGCATCGCGAGAATTTCGGCTGTGGAGCTTTATGCATCCGCTGAGACCTGTCAGGGCAGCTGCGGAGGCCGCGGAGCCGGAGAAGGGGGCCTGGTTCCTCCAGCAGCAGCGTGCCTCAGGCCCCTCTCGATTGAGGGCTCTGAGACTCCGTGCACGGCCGTGCAAAATTTGCCAGGCCTCGAGGTGGATATGGTGACGTACACCACAGTAGCGGATGCTTTCTCAAAGGCTTACTTGTCACCGTGCGATGTGCAGTTGGCCGAGAGTGACACTGCAGGCTGGCAGGCCTGATGAAGCCCAGGCTTTTCTCTTGCGTGCCAATGCACGGGGCGCGGCCCCAAGAACTGCGACGATGCCGGCCACTGATTGCACTACGTTCAAGCTCCAGGCCTCGCGCTTGACTCCGTCGCCATGGGGGTCTCTTGGCCGCGCTGTGGACATCAAAAACAGGAGTTTCCAGAGACCGGAACCGCGGGCGATCCCCGGTGGCAAATCCTGACCAGCCATCTCCCGCTTTCTCGCCCAAGGCATTGAGCGCCGGCTTCGCCAAGCTTGGCCAACCAGACAAGGCACAGCACTGGTTAGAGGCAGGACTTCGTTGAGCCCGGCATGTCAAAGCCCAAACGATGCAGCTGTATGTAAATGATCGTTTGGCTAGTGATGCTAGTGTGAAGGGCCTTTGCTGGAGAGAACTGGCAGGAGATGGTCCGACAAGGTGCAGGATGTGGTGTCATAATGTCACTGCATCGCGGACGTTGCTTTGGTCAGGCCTGGAGCCCAACCCCGAAAGCATTGGGGCGGTCGCGGCAGCTTGGGCCCAGAGAGGCACAGCGAGCAGGTTGAAGTCAAGACTCCTGCGGAAAACTCGAGGGATGTGGCCAGGCCAGCCTCTGCAAGCCGAAATGTGGCTTCGCGAGGTGGCGCAAAATTGTGGATGATGTGGGCCGGGACATGGAAGAAGTGTTTGACATAGGTTCCGAAGGTTTATGTTCTTCGCCTCGTCGATTTTTGACGTGCTGGTTGAGGATGTATTGGCTGGGTGGCATTCCTCTTTTGCTGCCAGGCTACAGGACAACACAAGTGGTGGTCATAGGTCTGTTCCAAATTATCAACATCGACTGGCGTAGCTTACATTGCTTCCTGTCTTCTGCTGTGCTCATCCGTACACCGTGAGCGGCTAAAGTCGAATCTCTCAAAAAGTGCCGGCGGTTCCCTTAGCATTCCAAACATCAGCATGTGCGTTCATGCTGCGATTGTGATCCGTCCGCTCTTACGGACCTCTCCAGGATCCACACCGCCTTTGATTGCACATTGATGTCTACTGCATGGCGATATGGCTAATTGAACCAGCCTGCGCCCGTGCAATGCCTTTTGTCAGGAATACGCTTGAGTCACAATGGCGAATGCCATTTTGGCTTAAGCTGATTGTGTCGCTGCACACGCATTTTCGAAAAACCTCTGTCTGTCGCTCGCCTTGGCTCGCCATGGCCACCCCCACTGATGCTTGGACTGTTGTCGAGGAATTGCGGCGGCAAGGGAGCTTCGGGAGATTGATGGTGCCACGATCGTGGCGCCCGTGACGACCGATGCCACTGACAATGAGGCAGAGATCGTCGAGAATGTGACAACAGACGATGTGTATGCTAAGTAAGTTGGAGGAGATGCAAAAGACGGTGGCCCGCCTCAGCCTGGGAGATGACGACAATACCGCGAAGGCGGACCAGGACACTGAGACCGCCCTGGTCTGGGTGGGGCGCCCTCCAAAGGATGTTGACAGGATTGGGGGAGGGTAGGGAGCCCTTGGCCCGGGAGCAGATGGTCTCCTGGTGGTGCAGGGAATGCTGGAGGGTTTCCCGGCGTGGGCGTCGACATGCAGTCGTACATCCGCACCATGTCCCAGGACGAGATGGTCGAGCTCTTCCTGCAGTTCCGCGGCTGGCAAGGAGCTTACCGGGGCGGCGTGGAGCGAGTCGCTGAGACCTACCACATCGCGAAGAGACAGCGGCAGCACGAAGCCCTGCTCAAGACGCCCGCCGCCGTGGGAAGACCCATGTCATTGGAGGCCAGACCTAGGCCCCAAAGCGCGGAGACAAGCCCTTGGACAAGATGTGCCCGCACTGGGTTGGGGCATGGGTACAGCGGGCAAACAAGTGCCTTCTGTGCAGTCGCGAGGCAGAACCTGTGGACATTGCATCGTCCTTGTGGAGCTGAACATCGAGGGCAAGACGTTGCGCATGTTGCTTCGGAATGGTGGCATTGTTTGGGAGTTCGCAGGACATGGGCAAGGTTTGGTGAAGGACGAGGAGCTTGGTGTTCGGTCGAGGCGGTCAAAATCGCCGCGAAGATGTTCCCCGGTGGAACCGCACCCGGGCGTCCCGGCTTCCCGCCACATAGCGCCGGAAGGGCCGGACTCCGATTTGTTGCCCCTCCTTCCGGGTGAAAAACAAAGATGCTGGACATTGTTCTCCTGACTCCCGACTTCTTATTGAAGGGGAGGATCACCGGGCAATGACCACAGATGATCCCACTTTCGACCGCTTCGCCCTCAGACAGGCCAGAGTCCAAGCCTGGGGCCTACGGAAGAGGCCCCCGAAGTGGAGGGGGGGGGGCCGCCTGTTGCAAGGGTCGTGCGCCGACTGTTCCAGACACCTGGGAATGGCGGAAGGCGAAACCGAGATGGCGCTTCCAAGTGGCGAAGTTGAGCCAGGAATGGTTTGTCAATAAAGTCGGCACTTATGGAATGGCCAGATCTCAGCTGTACTGGGGCCGGATGGAGGCTTTGCTGCTAAGGCTCCTCTACTCGCTCTTTCCGTCTATCGACTGGCAATTTGTCTTCGTTGATGACTTCCTTTGGCTCCTTACAGTCACGGAATCGGGGGTGCTGGGGACGGCAATTCTTCTCACCCTGGTTGCTTTGGGAACCCCGCTAAGCTGGAAAAAGACACTGAGGGCTCAGATCAACACGTGGCTGGGTTTCGCAATAGATCCAGCAGGGCCTACGGTCCAGATGGCATGCAACTGCTTGAGGACCTCATCCGGCGCAAGGTCTTCACGCACAAGGATATCGAAAAAGGGTTGGGAAGACTCCAGTGGGCCACGACATGCTGCCCGCTCACCAAGTCCTTGCTCCAGTCATGTTGGGCTTGGAAGATGGCATGCGAGACGGCGGACAAGCCTGGTTCTCTGATCCACTCGTTTGCGGCACTGCTTAGAGAGCTCTTCAGGGCTCCCCACAAGCAGAATTCCCCTTTGGGGTGGAATCCTCCGGGCTCAAGTGACGCAAGAGCCTCCGATACCGAAGCATGCATCGGAGGCTGGTTGTCCATGGACTCCTGTCCGGACAAGTCCTCCGTCTTTTGGTTCCACTACAAGGTCGTTGAGGAGCGCCGCCCGTGGGCATTCGTCCAAGGCTCTCCGAAGCGCTGCATCGCGGCCCTGGAGATGCTTGGAACACTGGTCCGTACGGCCTTCCTCATTGAAAAGAATGACCAGGACGAGCGCCTGCCCATGATTCCCCTCCTCTCGCGCAACCAAGGAAACGTCTAACGTCTTCTCAGTCTACTCCCTCCTCGACAGCAAATCGAGGAAGATGCCTTCGGCGGCCGTCCTGATGGAGTTTATGCTCCTACTACCGCAAAAGCTGCACCTTGGCATTCTCTCACATGAAGCGGGACGTCAACCAATGGGTTGACGAAGTTACGCATCCGGACTACCAGGGCTTCTCGCCGGATCATCGTCCCTGTGTTAGTCGCCTACTGAGAGGCTTCACCTTTTTTCATTAATGCTGGAATCCCATTCCTTCTAGTTTTTGGTACTCCCTCACCTACGGCCCGAGTGGTGCACGGTGAGGCCGAGAGTTCCCCCACTCGCTCGTTACCAGGCACATCAGTGCCACACCGTTTTCTACATAGACCTCTTGGAGGCGTCTGCGGCTTTGGGAGCCGACTCGCTCGGCGGACCCTCTCGGATTGCCACCTTCGCACTCCCGCTCGCAGTGAAACGAGGGAAGTGCACGTGGTTACTCTCGGGTTCCGTCGTGCCCGTGTTTGATGACATAGATCTAGATCAGTGATCAGTGCTGCCTGCACGAGAGAACGTTGATGGTGCAGGTGTGTGTGTGTGTGGGGATGCAGTTCTCAATCTGCTGCAGATGCGTGGGCGTCAACTCCAGCCTTCGCCGTCAATGATAACATCGGTGGTCCATGGCTGCTCAAAAAGTGGGCAACCAAAGGCCGGTGCAGTGCCGGGGCTGCACAGTTCCTGGAGTGGTGTTTATGGGAGGTCGTTCAAGGGAAGACATTGGCCGCTGAGCTTGGTAGGTGTGCAACTGTTGGCGCTCGTTTGTGTCACTCCCTGGCAACTTTTTGTTATGGTTGCGGTATGTTGCAGCAGTCTGGCCGAGCCATGTGATTACAGCCGGTTGGTTTTGAGAAAATGTACAGTCGAGTCGAGCTGCACGCATTGTGACTCTTGCAGGTTTTGCTGACACGGGTGAGCTCGCTCACATCCTGTCATGGAAAAGGGTGCAAACCAAGCACAAATCCTCAAACAGGAAAACCGTGGAAGCTAGCCATCATCACGTCCATGCAACTCACCTGCTTATGTACATCACGAGGAAGTGTGTGCAGGGAAGTTGGTCAGAGTTTGAGAGAGAGAGAGTTTTCGGTGATGAGTTTCGGGGGTGAAGTTTCGGAACATGGTCCGGGACAGTTTCGGATCAGAACATGGTCAGTTTCGGTCTCACGCCATGGTTAGGTTTAGGCCCAGGCCTGTCAGCATCGGACTCAAACTGCCCCCCCGAAAATGAACTGAACGCCGAAACTATCCTCCTGTGATCTGAAACCCCCGGCAGCCGATCCGAAACTAGGACCCCGAAACTATGGGTACCCATGTGAACAGTTCCCTGATCTCGCCACGATTTGGCGGGTTCCTGCCCAGCCGAGGCCTTCGTGGATCAGCTGCAGAAAGAAGGCGTGGTTTGGAATCGCTTGAACTTAGCACTCAGAGCAGTCCGCACCGATTGCTGGCCCAGGGGCAAGGCCCCTGCTAGGTACGACTCCAACCGTGGAGGTTTACAATGCAATGCTGAGTGGCTGTGCCCGACTGGGCAAAACCAGAGAGGCGTGGAAAGCTTCCTTGGCTGCTGATCTTGCAGGACAGGAGAGATAGGGGTAAGGTTCGTACGATTGCGGTGTGTGCAATGTTGGAGCATTCGGACCGAGTCAGTGTGCAGACAGACAGGCCGAAGCAAAGTTCCGAGAGATGTTGGATGCGAGCCTGCAGCCCGACGTCATCACTTTCAACTCCATGACGCTTGCTTAACACATTCAACTCGGTGGTGCCTGCTGGTCGAGAAGGGAAGACCTGCAGCACATTGCATGCTGTCGTGTGAGCAGTTGGAAGCATGCCATATCAAATCCTGCCTGAAGGAACCAGCTAGAAAGCATGTCCGGCATGATGCATGGAGACAGACTGTTCAGCATAGCCAATGACAGATTGCGGCTCTGACATGCTCTCACTTGGCCCAAGCTCGGAAGAGTGAAATCAGCTCTCCTTGGATCTCGCGTATACTGGCGGATCCTTTCTTTCTTTCTTTCTTTTCCGTAGCGCCATGGCAGAAGGTGAGGGCTCCGCCAAAGGCGTGGAGGCACGGACTTTATGGACACTCAACAGGCTGATGGTGCTCCTGGGCGTCCGGCCGGAAAAGTCAGATAAGTTCATCAGCGGTTTCACTACAGAGGAGGCTTCTGCTAGAGCTTTGGCACGCTTCTTGGACGAGCCTGAAGTCCCAGCGTGCTTTTTCATCCCTAGCAGTGAGTCGGTCACATGCACTGTGGATCTCCCTTCAGCTCCGCAGATGAGAAAGAAATTTGTGGCCATGCATAGATCGAGCCCTGAAGTCCAGATCAGCAAGGAAACCATTGCAGAGTCAGTCATCCTCATGGAGATGACGAAGAACGTGATGGATCTGCTGAACATGTATTGCCAATCAGTTTACCTTTCTACACTGACGAACCCTGCAAATCAGGCAGGATGGTCAGATCTGATCGCCAAAGACCTCATGGACAAGTACCATGTTTTCCTTGCCAGCTTGCATGTAACCGTGGGACTCATGAAGGGCCACACCTGGTTGCCCCACCCACCCCGAGATGCGCTCCCCACCAGTGGCGGCATGGCTGCTGCCTCAGGCGGCGCTGGATCATCTGGTGGCAAGGATAAGGTGCACGTCCTGGAAGGGGCGGTGATTACATGGACCAAGCAGATTCGCCACGTGCTCAAACAGGATCCTGAGGTGCTGCTCAAGGACGGCAAGAACCCGGAACCAAGCGCTGAGCTCAAGTTTTGGCGGAGCAAAGCAGCAAACTTGAACTCCATCCATTCTCAATTGGGTATGGACGCGCTGAAGAAGGTCCTGAAGTTCCTAGAGACGAACAAAAGCACCTACACTGCACCTTTTTCAAAGCTGCAGAAGGAGGTTGAAGAGGCTCGGGAAGAGGCAAACGACAATGTAAAGTTCCTGTCAACGTTGACAAAGCTTCTCGTCATAACAGGGCATGCCGTGATGCTGTGTTTCTTGCGTGGTGCGGCCAGCACGATTTGGTAGAGGTCCGGTGTCGTCGGAGGGAGACAGTACACCTGAGGTCCATCGACAAGCTCACCAGTGACAGCGCCGATTTCGAGCAGCTCGAGCAGCTGTTTGAGCCAGTCCTTCACAACATTCTGCTCATCTGGCGCTATTCGAAGTTCTACACCACACCAACTCGCTTGGCTGTCCTGATCAGGGAAATTTGTTGCTTGGTTGAGGGGCGAGCTTTGCCAGTGATGATTTGTAGTCCAACTGTTTCGCGAAGCTGTTTTCCGTGGCACAGCAGCTGAGGCAATTCCATCATTGCACAGGCGGTCCGGTACATCAACGGCAGTGATATTTTCACCATGATCTCTTCCGAAGAGACAACAGAATGCTATAGCAAGCTCGAGAACACATACAGGAGCTCTGGAACCATGGTGCATCGAGCCGTCAGCAGTCCACAGGCATCATGTTCGCATTGCTCGCATCACGCTCGTCTGCAGGATTTGCACTGCCTTCAAGGATGCCTACCTGCTATTCAAGGACATTGCGCTGAATCAGGATGGTTCCGGATGGAAGATGAGCCTCAGCCTGCATACTGTTCGTAAGCTTCCTTCGACCGGTGTTGATGATCACAGGTACAAAGCAGTGAGAGCTTGACATATTCAAGGAAGAACGATGCCCTCTTTGTTCGCCTGGACTCCTTCCGAGATCGCTGCCGCGATGCTTTGGACTTCACACGCACGGTGCCGTGTCTTGTAGATTTTGGAGCATTTTCCGCGCAGAGCATCTAGTAGTGAGCGCCAGGGGCTGGCATGACGATCGCATTTCCATCGTTTTTGCCTTGTTTGCTGCTGTGAAGGTGATCCAGTTCTCCAAGCTCGAGCGTGTGGAAATCGGTGGAACAAAGGGTAAAGCCGCATTGCTGCAATGATTTCTCACCTCAGCCGCCATGGTTTGTGCTGGTTGATAAGATGGTGCGCTGCTGGGGTTGTCGTTCTGACGAAGTGAACACGGTAGCCCTGGCCGCCCATGCAGCAAGTAGCACATCATCCACGCGCCCGTGGCACATGTTGTCATGATGTCATCAAGCACACAGGCAGGTACTTCTCTTTCCCACGACACATTGGGAACCGAGTCGCGAACCCTGAAGTCACCTCTAGGTCCTTTCGGACTGTGTCGTCGCCATCAAAGAGGAGTTCTTGAAGTGTGTCGAGACCTTCAAAGGTGTGAGCTATGACATCATGGATGTCGGAGAAGTGCAGCTACTTTTCAGAGCCCAGATGTCTACGGTATAGGTGCTTGATGTCCAGTTGGAGTTTGAGCATGCTCCTGCCTGTGCTTGAAAGTTGCGGAAGTTGAGCAGCCTAGGTTCGAACATGACTACTTCAAGTTCCGCATGACAGTCAAGGATCTTGATAGGAGACTTGGTAGCCTCCTGGGCTCCGCTTTTGACGAGCCTGGGCTGGAATGAAGGTGGTGGAAGCCAACATTCGATTGAGGTTGCGTGAGTCAGCTCCGACTAGTTGTCAAGTCTTGACTGGCTCATAGTATAGAGGATTTGGACACCATCAACATGCGCGTCAAGCTCTTCGACATTTTCGAGGGCTTGCTGGAGCGTCCGATCATCCAGGCCTGCCGAGGTGATTGCGTAAGAGTCGGAAGCTACGGTTGTAGGACGGGGTTCGACTGTGTAGCAATTGCCAGGCAGAGCTGGAGAAGAAGCACAAGATGCTGTTGCACCAGGTGGGTGAGTGTGTGCGTGGGGCATGAGGCCATCTAGACAGGTCTAGCAACTGAGCCTTGAGGTCGAGCAGGATCTCACAGCCGTTGAGACTGGCTTCGTGGAGGTGTGGGGGGTCGGGGTAGGTTCGTGGTGAAAGCAGATACCAACGCTTTCATGTTCTATCGTGAAGGCGAAGGACAAGGTGGACCAGTGCTACGACGATGCACCGATCTTCTCGAACCTGCCTCCAGCGGCGGGTGCCATCTATTGGGCCCGGTGCTCAAGGCACCGCATCAATGAACCGATGAACAAGCTCGCGTTCTACAACCTCGCATTGAGGGAAACGCCTGAAGAGTTCAGAGAGGTGAAAAAGCAGCATCAGACCTTGGACAAGATGCTCCAGGACTACGAGCTGCAGCGCTACCAAACTTGGGAGCAGACCTCCGTCGAAGCCGCCAAGGAGAAGCTCAAGATGAGGCTCCTGCGACGGCAGGAGAAGTCGGGTCTTCTGAAGGTGAACTTCGACCCGGCCTTGGTCCGTTTGCTGCGGGAGGTGAAGTTTTTCCTCATCTTCGACATCGAGGTGCCTCCCGTGCCTCGGAGAGCACAGAGAGTCTGAAGCTCGCCCTCTTTCTCCTGCATCCGTCTCCTGTGTGAACGTCAGCTGCATTTTCGCTCTCAGGCCGCGCTGGAGATGTTCGACCGGGTGGCCACTTACAGGCAGTGGGTCGCGCAGATGGATCACATCGTGGGCATGCGCCTGGGCGACATACTCGCTCATCGCACGCCAGCATGGCCCACAGTTTCGCGAGCTTGTGATCCAGAGGCCTCCGTGGCCATTCCTGCAGGTACAATGCCGTGCTGACAGAGCTGCTTCCGGTCGAGGAGCCACTCTTGGAAGATCGTATTGCCAAGATGGATCAGGCCGCACGATTCAACAAACTCTAGACATTGTAATTTGTTGTGCATTCCACGTGTTACGTCAATCCAAAGAGTGAGTGAAAAGTGAGTGTGGAGTAGCGCACCTCCTGAACCTCAGCTATCCTCAGCTGGCTGGTCCCAGTGCGAGAGGGCAGATGTCGAAGGTGCTGTCGCCGGGTCTCACGGAGCTGAAGTGGCGCAGCGAGGATAAAATCCCGGAGTTCATCGAGAACCTGGGCTGGAAAATGCACCTCACGAAAGCTTGTGGTAGCTCTTTGATTCGAGTAGCCTTGTAGCCACTAGCCGCTAGCCACTCGAACCAAGAAACTCAGGAACACCATGCGTGTGGTCAGCGACGTGTCTGGAGTCGTGGAGATCATGAAGGGCGGCTCAGCAACTTTTAAATGACTTCAAGATGTCCCTGTACAAACCGCTGTTCTAAGGTAACCTGCGGTCGATTTCCGGCATTCTCTCGCAGTGGTGCAAGGAGCCAATCATCTCAAGAGCGAAAGGCATGGCCGTGTTGCTTGTGCAGGAGCTGGGCTTGAGTAGTACCTTCCACAGCTTAGAGCATCCATAGTTCATTGGCCATGCAGGCTGCATACTTGAAGGATCTTCCGAGGTTTGAGGCCAAGGATCCGACGTGCTTTGTCGTTGCGTGCAGGTTCTAAGCCTATGGCGCTGGACGAGTTTGATCTGAAGCACAAGGAGCGTGTGGGCATGCGTCGCTTGGCGGTCGCCACTGTGTACATGTCGCCTCAACTAGAGAACCAGAATTTCTGTCCGTGTGTGGATTTCCGAAGTGCTCTCAGCATTCTTAGCGCTGTGGATGCTCTACTTGCCATTGCAAACTCCGGGCCAAAGGCCGAAGGGATTTGATCTGAGGCATGATGACTCAGTCAGATGGTGGCAAGGAGATCCACAAGTTCGTCAAGGCACGGCTATGGTTCTTTGCAATCGAGTTTTCTAAACCGTTACTACCCTTCTCATGTTCGGTTGGTGCAGCCATTCTCGCCGTCCTCATTTCGTGCTCTTTTGAAGGACTCTTCGGAGGCCTTGAAGGTCTCCAAGGTAGCAGCCAACTGGAAGGCTTATGTGGACTTCGTGCCCTGGCTTGCAGCTGAATCTTAAAGGGAGTGGCAGATGCTGTTGCGACAGTGTTTATGGAGGGCAGACTTTTTGTGGCCATATTTTTTGCTACTGTCGCATTTTTTCTCCGTGGCATACTTGTGTAGCAGTAAGGGGTGAGTAGTCGGGGGTGGAAGTAGTAGTAGTAGTAGCAGCAGCAGCAGCAGCAGTAGTAGTAGTAGCAGCAGTAGTAGTAGTACTACTACTGCTACTACTACCACCACCACTACTACTGCAACTACGATTACAATTTTTATCAGTACTACTAGTACGAACAGTTCAGCCTTACTATTAACACCAAAATAAACATTAATGTGGCCATGAATTTTAGCACGAACATTAACATGATAATACTGCTTACATACTGATGTTCATACTTCACGATGCTAATGCTAAGTTTCACATTGGTAATACGACAAAATTAATATTAATGCTAATGGTACTTCACTATTTGCTTTGTCAAAAAAGCATTCTATTACTGCCATTATTTTCTGATTGTAAGCATTATTACTGTTACTATTACTGTTACTGTTACTATTGCTATTACTATTCCCAGAAAAATTATATTACTATTATTATTATTAGTATTACTACTACTACGACTACTACTACCACTGCTACCACTACCACGACTAC